CCCATGTTAGCAGGGGTGGGGGCGGGGAACCCCCCAAACTTGTCTGTTTATAACAAGAAGCCCAGCAGAGTTCTCGCCTCATTTTCAAATAACGTATAAAAGCCATTTGTCCTCATGTCACTTCCAACTCACGGCAATCCTCTGTGTCAGAGTGGAACTGTGTGTCCCATAGGGTTTCCTGGGCCGGTGTTTCACTAGTCCATCGCCTGGTCTTTCTTCCAAGGTACCTCTGGGGGCATGCACACTACCACTCTTTTGTGTAATAACCAAGAGCCTAATCATTCGGGTTCCCCAGGGATTCTATGACCTCATTTTCTTTTCCAGAGCAAGCACATTCAGAAAATATTTTCCAGCATGAATTTCGTTTTGTCTTAAAAGCCGGACTTAGTGTACATCCTGCGGCGCAGGGCACCTGGACATCAATACAGCAAAGGCGCCCACATTTGGTGCTAGCCACATACAACTGCAATCCCTTTGGAATCTTCGTCCCCAGCTCTGTTCACCAAGAACGGTGGCTGTTCCGAAGCAGGCCCTCTGATCTTGGCTTAGGGTTGAAGATAGTGGTAAAAACCATCAACCTGCAGTTACCTAGCTCGCAGTGTGCTGAGCAGAGAAATAGGTAGCAATGGGGCAGTGCTTATTCCCACGGGGGCACACCAGGCAATCTTGAAAGAACTGAGATTGAGAGCTGCTACATGATGCTTACAAACGAAAACCAGACCAGTTGCCATGGGTCCATTCTGACTCAGGGTGACCTCACTTGTGTCAAAAGAGAACTGTGCTCTGCAGGAGTTCCAGGGTCTGGTTTTTCAGAAACAGATCCCCAGGGCTCGCTTCCAAGGTGTCTGTGAGCAGACCAGAACCCTCAACTTCACACTTAGTGGCTTAGCCATGTGGACCACCCAGGGATTCTGACAGAGGGAAGCTGGATAAGAGGGCGTTATCTGTCACCCCGTTGATCACCAGGGCTGATTCAGATGGTCTCGTTGCCTAATCAGGTGTCCCCTTCCTCCCTCACCACTCCATGAGTATCCCTCACCACTCCATGAGTATCCTTCCCCAAGCTGAGCACACGGTTGGAAGAGGATGACCGCTGATTGAAAGAAAACATATAGGAGTAGCTGCATTCCCCTGGCAAGCTCTCAAAGCAAGGCTCTTTGTATGACTTTAAATGATGACTCCAAAATATACCAAGTCATTCAGACTTCTGGAGCCTACCTACTCCCATTCCTGGGGTAAAATCCCAAGCTTTATATGGAAGAAAAATAAATCCATTTCTCAAAAAGAAGAGTGAATTGCGATGTGAAAGGCTTAGGTAGCCCATAATTTGCAAATATTGAAAATGACCGCAATGGTCAGGAAACATAACTAATGCGTGTTCATTATGTGCCTGGACTGAGCTGGGTAGTTACATGCTTTAGTGCCGATAATATCTAGAACTGGTACTAGAGGAAACCATGGCAGAGAGAATTCATTAATTTATCCAGAGTACACTAAGCACCCAAGCTCCACTGCCATCAGTTTGCTTATGACTCATAGCAACCCTATAGGACAACATGAAACTGCTTTTTACGGTTTCCCAAACTGTAACTCTTTAGGGTAATAGGGAGTCGATCATTCTTCTGAAGAGCAACTGATGGGTTTGAACCATCGTCAACCTTGCAGTCAACAGCCCAACATCAAACCCATTGTGCTCTAAGGACTCCTTGAGTTACAAAATAAACTAAAGACCAAGTCCACTGCCCTCAAGTCAATTCCAACTCAATCCTTCCTCCTCCCCCTTCCTCACTCACTCACCCCAACACATAGCCACTCTGTAGGACAGAGTAGAACTGTCCTGTAACAGTTCTGAAGTTGTAAAATCTTTACGGCGTGACCCTTAATATCATGGTCAAACACAGTATTCAAACCCAGGTAGTCTCTGCTCTACTTGATGAATTTTCTTCTCTTACTGGCGACGGAAATGGCCTATTACTGAATGTATTTAAAAGCAAGATCCAAGGGCTGCAACAGACCACGAAGAGACCCTTGTAGGCTAAAATAGAATGAAGGAAAGGATAAGGAACTGGCATGACAGTTCCACAATGAAAAACCCAACTTCCCGGCTCCCAAGGAGGACACCGTTCTGACAGAGCCCGGAAAGCGGCCTTCAGCAAGCCATCTCCCTAATTTCCATCTCTGGACTATGCAGAACTCTTAGTGTCATCAATCACTTCCAGCTACTTCTAAGAATAAGCTGAGCTTTTCTAATTTAGCGAGAATGAAGGGTAAGGAAGGCGACCATCTTTGGACTTGACCTGCCGCCTGATACGTTTTAGGTCACAGATCACGATCGGTCTCATTTTCCTCTTGGATGCAAAACCATGATGTGATTGCTTTTAAGGCATTGCTTTTTCTTTAGTTTAAATTGTGATGAATCCTCGTCAACGTAATAGAATCAATGGCTCATGTATATGTATACTAACTATCCATTAAATGGCTACAGATGTTCAAAGTTTGAGGAAGGGGTCTGAGTCAAACAGTCATATCAAGGGCTGATGTTACTCTATTCTTTTGCTAATCTATTGCAGTTCATAATCCCTCCCCCCCTTGATCATTTTTTCAGAGGCTAACTAGCTCAAACCAGACCCAGTCAGATCACCAGCCCAAACCAGACCCAGCTAGTTCAGGCCCTCACATCCACAAGGACAGAGTCTTTCAATCTGTGGAACCGACCTGCTAAACCCTACGCAGAACGCTCTGCTTTCCCGGAGCACAAAACCTACACATTTGAGCAGTGGGTTAAAAATTGCACAGCCCTATAATTCAGCGCATTCAACCAGCCCCTAGTCTTACCCAGCCCCTTTGTATGAGTATGTGTAACTCTCTTGCCATTTTCCTATAAAACTGAAAACCCCTAGTCAAATCTGAGGACTCATTCTCCGGCCTCCCTGCTTGTTGCTTTGCAATAGATCTACTCCCTCTTTCTCAAAGACCAGTCTCCAAAGGATGGATTTCTGTGCATAGCCAGCAGAGATTTTCTTTGAATCATTTACAGGAGCGTGAGGGTGAAATCTCACAGTGTTGATGGCAGACAGCTAGCTCTTCCCGGAGAGTCATCCTTCCTTCCTTCCCTTTCAACTAAGCATACAGTGTGACAGTTCGGTTTTGTGTCAACTTGGCTGGGCATCAGCCATTTGCTGTTGATACCTGCTCCCTGGTGTGGCCTAATATCACATAAACAACTCTC